AATTTTTTATCTTGATCTCATTGTCTGAAGCAGGGTTTCCTTTTGTACTGATTACAGTTCAAAGTAGTGATATAAACAGTTGTTTCTGATTCAAATAGCTCACATTCCTCTGTCAGACTAACTGGTAACCCTACCCTTAGCTATCGTCATACACGATTCAGCAGCAGAAAGAGTAAAACCAAGCAAACAACTCTTTCCTTTGACATCACTGGAGTGGTTGCTATGGCAACAGTCCCATCCTGATCTCCCTGCCTCTGTTTTTCTTTCAGGACCGAGGCTGTACAAGGAGCCCAGCGCCAAATCTAACAAGCACATCATCCAAAATGCTCTGGCACACTGCTGCCTTGCAGGGAAGGTCAATGAGGGGCAAAAGAACAAGATTTTGGAGGTACATGTCCTTCATAGCTATACTTACAGTTGCACTAAAACTGACATGGGACCTTTGACTCTCTTTGAGGTGTATGTTTATTGTACATTTTCATATAAAGTGGTCTTTAAATTCAGAGTTTTTGTAGATTTACCTCTGTACACCATCACAGTGGATTTGAAACAATCAAGATGTGATTGTAGTGCAAACATTTTGAAGACTATCCCACTTCTTTGCCTTGAGTAACTCTTGGCTTGCCTTTGCAGTATGTTTCATTATCCATTCGCACTGTAAGGCACTATCTGATCAGTCATGCAGCATTTGGCATAATCTCTGCAGAGATCATAGCCACTTCACAATTCATGTATCATGAGTGTTTTGTAAGCTTTATATCCTGTTGATATTTTAAGTCACAGATTTATGAATAGGAAAAAATATCTACATAGCACATCAAGTGTCCTTAAGCATATGTCACCTGCTTATCTAACCACATTGACTCCCCTGATCTTGACAGGAAATGGAGAAATCAGAAGCCAACAACTTCTTGGTTTTGTTCAGAGATGCCGGATGCCAATTTCGCGCTCTCTACACTTATTGCCCCGAGACCGAAGAAATCAACAAGCTGACGGGCATCGGCCCCAAGAGCATCACACGCAAGATGATCGATGGCCTCTACAAGTACAACTCAGACAAGAAGCAGTTCAGTCAGATACCAGCTAAGACCATGTCAGCCAGCGTGGACGCAGTGACAATCCACAACCACCTCTGGCAAACCAAGAAGCCAGCCACCCCTAAAAAAGTAGTGCCTGCCCAGTCCTAATGGGACTTGATACCCCGAACATTTCATTTTCCTTCTTTGAACATAACCAGTCTCGGTTAGCACTTCACTGTACATATCCATGAAGATTCAAACACCTGCAATGCCAGTTAGATGAATGCGTATTTATCTTTTGTTTTGTTTGTTCTCCTCATTGCATTCCCGTCCTTGTTTATCCTTCGTATTCGGACCAGAAGTGATAAGACTTTAAAAATCACGAACAGCTGGAATGTACGACTGTCGAGGAATGATGTAAACGTAATCATGTCTGTGTTTGAAAAAGAGATTTGAGACATTGTGTGTGAGCGCGTGTGACTGATGTTTGTCGTTCTCTATGTGCCAAACGCTAAAAGAAAAAAAAAGGAGACAGTATGAATGCCGGGACATTTTACTCCGTACACAGAAGCTCTGAATGTTTTCAATTCATGTATAGATTGACTTTTGTTCGCTCTATCCTGTTGAAGTGTGGCCTTACGCACGTTTTGTTTTAGTGTAAGAGTGAGTGTAAAGCGACAGCCTCTTTTGTATTTGGAAGAAACCTTTTTTCTTTTCTCACCTGTGTGAGTAAAAGTTTGTACATTAAAGTACGTAAACTCCAAAGGGCCAAAAAAAAAAAAAACTGATTGCATACAGCTAGCGTTAGCCACACAGGATACGTGTGTTCAGCTCAACAAAGCAAAGCGGTTCCAGCTTTTTCAGAACCCCTGTTTTTGAGGAAGTGATTTTAATGAATGCAGGACGTTACTGTAGATCACTGGTTCTCAACCTGTAGGTCAGGACACGTGCAGACAGTTTGTGCTGTCGAGTACAATGTCAGTTTTCTGGTTTATTTGCATTGCTTCAGCCCAAAAGATCGGGAACCAGTGTTGTAGATCACCTCGCTGCTGGTTCACAGCAGGTTTGTGAACAACTCCTCAGTATTATTTATTTTTTATTATGAAATGCTGCCGACTACAACTTGTAGGGTTCTTTGCAGTGTACTAAGATATTGTACAATCACACTCCTGGCCACTGGGATCAGGACTGATATCCAAGCTATAATGACACCTACAAAGTATTTCTCTTTATGTCACGATGAAATGTTAACATTAAATTCAAGATGCACACTCAGACTCTTTATTATCATATCTGCACCCAGCTATAAGCCACTTTTGGCCCACCAAAATTAAGTAAGAATAGCTAGAATATAGCACATGCTAGAGTTCTCATAGTTGCAAAAGATATGTTCTGTTATTTACAAGGTAAGTGATGCATTAAAATAAGTAGTTTCTCCCAGTTTATTAAAAAGGCCACATTATGAAGTGTTTGTGTCATTTTCAACATGTCTATGCGTCTTTTTCACCACAGAAACGGGTTCAACCTGAACAACGTGTGTGTGTTAGCAGCATTTTTGTCCATCATCTATAAATGCAGCACATTGTGAATTTATAGTAACATTGTAATTTTGCTAGATTTATTTTTTTCTATTAACACTAGGATGAAATTCACACATTAATGCAAGGCAGAATAGGGCAGGTAGATCCTTGTTGCTGCATACGGGTAGAGTCTCGCCATTTGGTTTAACCGGCATCAGCGTTGTGTTACTTTTGCCACTGAATGTCAAATCCAACACCATTTGCAGGTACGATTTCTCCCCAAAAAATAAATCTGCCAACATGGTGCTTTGTTTTTAACTGGGGCGTGGGACAGGTGGGGGGTATTTATGACCAAAAGAGACATGTACGTGTTTTTGAAATTGTAATCTAGTACGACTGGGGGAAGAAGTGTTTCAATGTTCTTTACCGGCAGGATGTGTCAGCAGAAAGCTCGGTCTGCCTGCATTTGGCTGTTTTAAGGCCAAGGTTAAAAAGAAGATTATTATTTAAACTGTAATGATATTGTACAGTGTGTTCATGTGAGCAACTTATTCACTATGATGACTTTGTTTTTGTTTCGTCAGACGCTGTGCCCTCATTCAACATGTGGCTGAACATGTAGTGTCATTTTTCTTTTTCTTTTTCATTTTGCATTAAATAAAATAAAGCATGACATCAGCATGTATGTGGTGTTGATTGCAAATGAGGGTATTTTTTAAAAGGATATGCAAAGAGGGGGTTGTTAATAGAAGCAAACTCTTTTCATGGAAGGATAATATTTAACCATGAAAAAGTTTTGGAAATATTAGTCGTAGGGTTCTTTCTTTTTTATATATATATTTCTAAGATCTGGAACTGGACCATTGGTGTTTTCAAGGTTTCAAAGCCCAACCTGGGTCATTCCATCTGAAATCATCATGGGCCATTTGCATAAAATGTTATGGTCCAAATTCTTTCACACTTTGAAATCTGAGGCAATGTTGAAACATGAATTTTTCCAAACCTATTAAAGATAAAAGACTGAAATGTTCACTGGTCTTCCCTAACATAAACATGAATGTCTGTATTTTTGAACAAATACGTTTTAAAAAATGGCTCCATATTTGAGCACACATAAATACCAAAAGTTTCCATTGCAAAACAGAACTGGTGACACTTTTGGAATGCTATAGTTGCATTTCACAGAAATGCAAAGTGAAACATGAAAAGTACTTTTTAACAGAAAAATGAAGAATTCATGCTGTATTGAACAAATAGGCTAAATTGTGCCACGCAAACACAAATAGATCAATAGGTAGTCTAGTCCAGATTTGAAATCATAACATTTTCAAGAGGTGGTTCATCAGAAAATGTTCTACAATTATAATTAGATGGAGTACCTCTTAGATAAGGGCAAAGTTAATGTGTTTAGATTAACTTGTTTCCAGTGAAAGCTATATATTTAGCTAAAGTAACAAGGCTGGATTTCTAGGAGCAACTTTATCTGACCCCGAGTACCTCAGTGGCCAAAGGCTCCACTGTAAATGGGAGCATAAAATAATTTTAACTTAGTTTATGAATCAGTCCAGTGTCGCTACTAAGGCTGTTAATAAAACTGTGATTATTTGACTAAAAAGAATACAAATTGTTGTCTTGCTTAAGAAATTCTTTTAGCCATGTCCAATAAAATGTAGTTAATGACTACAGTAATGAAAATTTGCCATTAAACAAGGGAACTCAAAGGGTAATTTTAAAAGGGTTCAGCCACTTTTTTCATCATTTTGAGTGAATATATATATAAACCATTTTCTATATTCTAATTAGATGCCCAACGTTCTGATAAAAAAAATGTATATATTAGCTTGACAGCAATTTAACAACTCGTCTTAGAGATGTTCAAAGAAAATAGCATTTTTATCTTCTTTCTTTGTTATTTATTTTATTTCTTAAAATAAAATAAAATAAATCCTATCCTTTTTTAATCTCCCTGAATTTCCTTTGAAAGTTGTCGCGTCCGTGCTGTAGGTGTGACCGCTGGGCGTCGTTGCTACAGTTGATTGGTGGTTTGCGGCTACGTCCGCATGGCAACCGCGAGCTGTGTACAAGAAACGAGGCAGGAGAAAGGAGCTTTCTGGCAACGCTGTAAAGCCTTTCAGCAGTCAAATACGTCTTCCCTGCCGTCTTCTTCGTGGACGTCGCTACATCTGGAGACCGCGGGCTTGAATGCGGCGGGCTGTAGGCGCAGACTGACTGACAGGTGAGATGCTGGCACTGTTTCAAGGCGGTGTTTAGCACTGCGCTGTAGTCTAGCACTGTGTGTGCCCAGTAAGGGAGACAATAATTGGCATGCTCATCGTTTGTTGCGCTGCATTTGTGTCCAGTGGTGTTAATAGTCGTCACTGGCTGCCGTGCTCGAATAAACAAGGTGTGTCCGAGGACAGATAAAGTGCTGAGGCTGTCAGGTTTGGGCCGCAGACCTGCTCTCACATCCCGGCCCGGAGCTGGGTGGATGTTCTGTCTGTGTGTGGAGGGAACAGGGTGGCGTCATAAGCTGCTCTCCCAGCCTCTCTATGCGCTTCCTTAAACATACAGGGCGAGTGCACCATACATAATGAAGACCCCTCCATGTCTTTGCTGTAGCTGCCTGGGTGATGTTGCAGTGACTAACCCTTTAAAGACCCAACCTTGGAACTGCATCTTTGATATTTTCCAGTATTTAAACTATGAGCCATTTAGGGGCATTATGCATATGTGCAGAAACACCACAGATGCCCTTTGAAGCATCCAGCAAGCCTCCAACAAAAGGGACATCACAGAAAAATACAGTTTAGTGACCGAGTTTAAAAGTGCAAAGGAGTACTATGAACTTACTTGAACCATCATAATAGACTAGAGTAAGAATTGAATTAAAGTGCAAAAATTAGCATTTTGCAAAATTAGGCACCAGAATCATCAATGGGAAGGTTAACGTTCTCTAGGCGTTAAGAAAGAAAACACCTAATAACCTCGAACAGTATACTGATCTGGAAATTGGAGTGACACAAGGGAAAAGCATGTAGCATTATCTGTTAACCATGGTACAGACAGTGTGATGAGTCTCACACAGTCCAGTGATGTGAGAGAGGACGTAAGCAGAGAGATGAATTCTGAAGTGTAGATAAGTTGCAATGTAGGGACAGTTTCATTGTGCTGACGGACAGTGGCCTAAATTATGCTGGAAAAGCTCCCAAGGAGTTTTTGAAGGTAGAGAAGTAGAATATTCTGCCGTGGCCAGTTTAACCAGCTGGTCTGTATTCTGTTAAGTATGAATTTCACTTGGTGTAAGGGAGAAAGACACATGAACAAACAACGGCTGATTAGAGCTGCAGTAAAGCATGGAAAAATAGAAATATTTTAAAACATGGTTTATGATTAAGTGATTGTTTTCCAGTTACATTTTCAATTGGATCTAAAAAAAAATGTGTTTCAAAGCTGTTGTGTTGGTGTACAGATCGAGAATTATAAAAACTGGAATTCACCTCCGTTTTTGTTTGTCATGTATTTTTTGCAGGTGTGAAAAATTTGGGAATGCATAAACCAAAATGTCAAATATAAGGGTCAAAGGTTAGATTGGCTTTGGAAAATGTGAAAGATGGAATACATTTTGGACTTTTAACTGTATTTTTATATGTTTTACAGCTTTTCTCACAGAAAAAGAACTCCTCCTTAGCCAATTACACTACAGCAAAGCAAATAAAGTAATATGTTAACACTTGAATAAAGAAATGTCTTTCTTTAAATGGATCTACAGGAAAAACAGACATTTTCTATGAATAAACAAAAACTTTGTTGTAGAATTAAAGGACAGTTTGGGTTATGAGCCACCAGAATTTCTATAATTTTACATATTTCTTACAATTTAAGGCCAAAGAGTCATGCTGACAGATTATTTTTCCATTTCTTTTCACTTACTACAGTAGTAATATTACAATTAGAATAATTTCCTTAAGATTGGGAACATCAGCATAAGTCTTTCTTCTTTTGCTGTGACCTTTCCATTAACAGGCTTCTGCCTTCTCTCTCTGTTTTTTTGTTTTGTTTTTTGTACAGCCAGC